AATCTCCTGAGAAAAACTTTTAAGGATTAAGTTTACAGTGAACTACATTTTATCTTTCCTGGTATGATCTTATGTGAACACTACACATTTGGAATGCAAATACAAAACAGACCTTTATTTACTACACTTGCATTACAAGCAATTAGAGTAGTTTTTTAAATTGTGCTAAGAGAGTTATTGACCACAAATGTGTTTTCTTTTATACTGCCATGCTCTGAATTCAAACATATTTATAAAAACATAGAGGGAGGAAGGGAAAAGAGTGACTTTATAAAGAAAAAATATGAATGCATAAAACCTGGTAAGTAAGCAACTTTTAAAAACACTATTTTTTATTTAAACAGTCATTTTAAGTGGGTCATAGTCATAATAAGCAGTTTATTCAGTTTCAAATCTTATTTATCCTTCATTTGCACAGATTAACTTGAAGACACCATACCAAAAAATATTTATTAAGCACCTACTAAGTGTAAGGCACTGTACTAGGCACTGAGGATACAAAGACAAAAAAAACATGAGTCCTTGCCCTCAAGGAGCTTACATTCTATTGGGAAATACCCTGAATGAAATAGACCAGAGAGATAAGAAAGGTAAGTGGCTCCAACTGTATGGTAGGTTTCTGAATCAATGACAGAACACAGTGTAATTAAAACCTGCAATAGCAGCTACCACTTTTTAAAGTTTACTTACACCCAACTCTTCAGCCATTCGTCCCTAACACATAACCAATGCATAATAGCCACAATTTTGAAATGCGGCAACCTTCTCACAGGTAACAGATTACAAAATTAAGTAGGCACACGTGCCTTAGTGACCACTTTTAAATAATAGTTAGCATAGCTATGACATGCTGGTTGACTTAAAAGTTACTTAAAATGTTTTAAGAATCACCTATGTTTAATAGTCTAATAGATGGCTTTTTAAATCAGGTACTGGCTATGTGGTAATGATCTGTGCTGCTCTTCCCCTCAGGAACCATGTCTGGCAATCAACCAACATATGGGCACTTAAGATAATGCCTCATATGGCATTCAGTATAACTGCAGGTCTCTCCTAACATTTCTGTCTCAGTAAACTGATAAAAAGCAAAGAATCAAATCTGTGCCTGAAAATTCTGCTTTGAAATATGTTGTTCCTTCTTAATCATTTGGTAAAATTTTAATTCCCAAACTAGGCCTTAGGGGATGGCAGTTATGTGACCAAAAAAGCAGCCTAAAGCTACTCATGGGCTCAGGCCCCCTAATGGCTGGCACAGATATTATCAGGAGCATTCAGCAAGGGCCCACCAGAGTTCCAAGATTGCCACCAAATTTCCCTTATATTGGAGGAAAAGAGACAAAGGGGCTTGCATATGGAATCTAGCTCCAAACTTAACTCTCCAGGGTTATTTAATATTAAGTTCCTTTACAACCTATACATTCCAACCACTAGACTCCTGGTTGTTCCCCCAAATATCTGACCACCTCTGTATACAACACAGGTTGTCCTATGTCCTGGCCTGTGTCCTCAAAGGCCAAAATATATTGCCTGCTAAAAAAAATCCAAATTCTTTCAAGACTGAAGTTCAGGTTTGTCCTCTTTCATGAAGTTACATCTCACCTGTCCCATCCTCCCCCAAATTAAAATGCTCCCCCCCTTCTCAAATTTTCCTAAGACACTTTGGATCTCCTTTGCACCTTTCACTGTCTTCTAATCTAGTTATCTATGTATGCCACATTCTGACTCCCCACCCCAAAAGGCTAAGCTCACCCAGGACAGAAATTATGTCACCTTTGTATTCCCACCACCTAGCCCAATGCCTTCCACACAGTGAGTGATACACCTTTATCGAATTAAATCTCACTTTACAGTGGGTTTTGTTGGAATACATCTATCATACATGTCTAGGCTATATCTTCATCTTCACTATTCAAATAAACACCTGAGACACTAGTTATGCTACAATGCAAAACTTAAGTTGTTCAATCTTTATTATATTTGGCAATTATGCAGAACTCTGATATGAGTCAAGTGAAAGGCAGCATATTTCTCATTACTTTGTGTCTCCCTCCTAACCACCAGGTTGTTCCAAAGCAGCATCCTCTTTCCTTCACTAAGTTCCAGTTTACCAAGAATTTACCAGCCACATGCCCATCCTAAACCCTTCTACTTTACCCCCTTGGGTGCCATTTGTTTGACTTAATCTAGCTGAACGTTCACAAGGCAACTAGCCTGGCAGGGTCAAAGTTCAGCCATAGTGAGTTATAATTGGGCCAGAGCCATTCAGATCACTCCTCACCTAGAAGAAAAAAATTTTCACAGCCGTGGACTGCAAAGCTAAGCCACCACCATTCCACAAATAGTTCTATTATTGTAAACAAATAATCAGAATTTTCCAACTGCTACTATCCTAAGAGGCCTAGTCTAAGCCCCGCATATTTCCAAACGAAGAGGGCACTGAAAACAAAAGACTAAGTTACCGGCCTAGGTCACTCAGCCCTTTACTCAAGCCAAATCAGACTGCTAGAGTCCCACCTCTGGATCCCTCCAGTCAAGGTTCTTCTCACTGGCAGTGCTTTCCTCACATCTCATACCACTTTGGCAGAATAATTATTAAATGAAGATGATATTTGTAAAGTGTCCCAACACACAGTATGCACTTAATAAATGTTCATTCCTTTCCCCCATCCACCATCTTCCTCTCTCTTTCAGAAATTTCTTTTCTCCCAGGTGAAAACATTCCCCTCCTCTTCACAAGCTAAAAGTTATGTTAAGAACACATCCACGGAGGGACCAGCTGAGACATCAATGTGGCCAGGGGTTCTCAATCCCTCCAAAGGACCAGCTCTAGTAAGCAGTACCAGGATGCAAAGGCTCTGAGGATGGACCCAGTTAAGATGCTATGTCTGTCACAGTGCAAGCCAGAGTAGGGAGACCTCACCAAGAAGGCAGCACTGATTAATTTTTTTTTAACTATAGCAACAACTAAAAACTAAGATGGAGAGAAATTGCAATCCACAATTATGGAGAGAGTACCAAACCAAAGAAATTATACTCAAAGTATGAGTATTAAAACACATTTCAAGAATGCTCATGTTTTGAGTGTATACTTGTCTGAATTTTGCCCCAGCTTACCAAAAAATGAAAAAATTTAAACCTAACCAAAGCAAAAATCAAGGCTAAGATTCAAAAGAGCTAAATCAGTATCCCCAAAAATAATATGAAGTGAGGCAAAAACCCAGCTATTAAATCAATGAAGGAACTGGCCTGAGGCTCTTATCCTTCCACTTCTAAAATTCTGATTGCTTTCCTAAAATTCAAAGTAGGTTGCATCCTGATTTCTTTTCTGAAACAAATTAACCATATACAATCAGTAACTCAAAGGTCTATGTGTGTTATTTATGGACCAATGATAAGTTTAACAAGTTTCTTTGTACTAATATTGTTCCGATTCTAAAAAATCCCACCAACATAACTTCTGGTATACTCTGGATACAACCACAGAATTTAACACTCCTGTGAGACTACAACTGAGCTAAGACTTTATCACACCCCAATCTAAGAAGAAAAAACTGAGCATGACAGGAAAAATACAGCCATCTGGTACTCACACCTTTTAACACAATGTCTAATTATAATTAGTCTTGTTTGGCACCATAGTATTAAAATGAGTTAGCCCTTCTCCAAATATACTGTAGAATCATTTAACAGTTCAGCAACTGGAAAGCACCTTTAGAGCTGTTCAACTAACACGTTTTATATCCCCCAATATCATCAAAATCATTTAAGTTTGAACTTCCATATAAACAAAAATTCACAAAAAAAAAAAGTATTATCTGACAGGACACTGACCAACAGTATAAATATAATAGAGAAGCTCAATAATCACAGAATCAATAGTAATTTCACTTTCAAGTATTTAATTTCCTAAGTTCTGATGCTTTTATAATTTACCAGAATTTCTCTTCTAATACAAAGTCGGTGGTGGAAAAAAGCAAAGGCAAACGGCTAAATTTTTTTTAAAAGCATAAAGGTTTTGTTTGAAAGCCTAACTGAAGAAATTGAGGGCACTGGAAATTTACAAAGGTGGGTCACAGGCACGTTGACTGTTTACAATACACAGAGCATCAGGGGAGCTGGAAGAGAAACTCAATTATCTTTCTGTATGAGAAAGAGTAAGGGGGGAGAGGATCATGAATAATTCACTAAATAATCTTCTCAAGTCATGGGGGGGGGGGAGAGATTCGGTTTCCCAAACGAGGAGGCTAGGTGACAAGCTCTCCCAGGGTCTGCCAGATCTCAGATATAGTCTAATATTTCCTAGCTGCTCGGCTTCGGGCCACTTCACTTCCACCTCTCTAGGCCTCAGTTTCCTCGTCTGTAAGTCAAGGAACCGGCCCAGATCATTGCTAAGGTCCCTTTCACACTTCCAAATTCCCAGATCCTACGGAGGTGGCCGTGCCAAGGAAGCTTCTCCCCCTCTTAGGCCTCAGTTTCCTCATCTGTAAGATGAAGGCTGAGGCTCCCCGCTTTCAGTTCTAAATCCCTAGAGGCCAAGAGCGAGGTCGCGCAGGGGAAGCCGCCTCCCTGGCCGGGCCTCAGTTTCCTCATCTGTCAGGGAGGGAGTTGGGATCCCTGGGGCCGCCGCCGGGCCCGGATCCTGGGACGACCGCCCAGGAAGGAGCCGCCGCCGCCTCCCCCACCCCCGCCCCAGTATCCGCGGGCCCCGGGAAGCGGGCAGCCCAAGCGAGGCTGCCGTTGGCGGCGAGGCCTGGCCGGGCCTACGCTCCCGCTCCCGCGGCGGCGGCTCCGGTCCGGGGGGGCGCGGCGAGGCCTGGGCCCGGCAGCACCGGGGCTGAGGCGGACGCCGGGCCGGGCGGCGGGATCTGGAACTGGGCCCGGCCAGGCCGGGAGAGGAGAGCAGGGGAGAGGCGGGGGAGGGGGAGATCTCGCTCTCGCTCTCGCCCCGCGGGAAGGGGGGGGGAGGTGGAGACGCGACCGGCTGCGGGAGCTGCAATTACCGTGTGGGCTGCGGAATTCTCGTGGTGTTTGTCGGGGAGATGCGATAATGGCGTCCGTCCTCGCGAGAGGAGCTGTTGCAGTGCGCAGGCGCCGCGATTCCCTTCCCCCGCGGTGGTCGTCTTCCCAAACCTGCGCAGACGCATTACCCTCACCCGCTCGGAGAAGGAATAGGAAACGACGCGCGAGCGCCGGCCTCGTCCCTTATCTTCGTGCGCGCGCTTTCACCTTAACCTGATCCCGCTCCCTTTGGTCGCTACTTCAGTCAGAGCGCATGCGCGCCGCCTCTCGGGCTCGTCCCGTTTTGCTTCTCCAGGACCCACGCAAGCGTGTGCTCTCAGCCTCTTCGGCTTAATGTAGAAAGGGGGAGGGGGAGTTATTTAAATGGAGCGATAAAATAATTTGATTTGTAGGCTTTGGGATTTGTTTATTGTTGTCGTTTCCCGCTCCCCACCCCCACCCCTAAAGAACCAGCAGGGGAATACTACAAATCCCAGGATGCGCTGCTCCCACAAGGCGCATCCTGGGAGTTGTAGTCCATTCTGTGCTGTAATATTATAGGGCATGCTGGGACTTGTAGTCTGCCCAGCCGGCTGCCATTCCAGCCCGTTTCCCCACCGCATGGAATGCTGGGACTTGTAGTTAAGATAATTTAATTATTCGATCCCTCGAAGGTGATTTTCTGTATTTCCCTCTGTCCCTCTTTTCTGTCATATATTTAGACCTTTGGAGGCCTTGTCTGGAAACAGACTGGAGATCAGATGACCTGGGTCCCTTGATGGAGATTTCTCTAATTGGTAAATTTATCTGCAAAGCTGCTCCTCCCTGAAATTGATAACCTGTCAGGGGAGTCAGCATTTGGAGCCAAAAAGGCCCTTAGAGAAACCACAGAGACCAACCTCCTAAATTGACAGAGGACAAAACTGAGGCACCGAGGTTTTAGAGGTGATTCCAACATTATATAGATTGGATGATCTCATTTTTTTTAAGGTTTATTGCAATCTTGGCCACAAAAAAACACACTTGCACATTCTATACTTTTCAAAGGCATAGTTACAAAACCACTTTTCCCCCCTCAAAATTCTTCCCTATATCAATGTCTTTCTGATGAGTTTTTAACGTTTTAATTTTTTATTTTTTTAAAATCTCTAGTAAACAGTTCTCTCCTGGCTTGCTTTATGGTGTAGGTACAGTTTGTTTTGCATATAAATCTTTTGCCTCTTTTTGTATCCCTGACACTTAGCACAATGCCTGGCATACAGTAGGTGCTTAATAAGTGTTAATTGATTGATTGATGTTTAACAGATTTCATGCTGTTTATTTCATCCTGTCTATGCCAACCAAAACACTATCTCAGCCATCTTTTCCAAGTATTTAAGGAGCTCTCATTGTACAAAAGGGAACAGACTTTCTTGCATTGCCCTTCAATGGACAGAAATAGAATCAATGGGTGAAAGTTTCACTGCTGAAATTATCAGCTTTCCTCCACTACCCAGCCCAAGTGCCCCAGTCTACAAAAGGCCCCACTGATTCCCACTAGTTGTTAACGTTCTTTCCAAATTGATGACAAAGATTTTTGTCTTTGCAGCCCTGGCACCGAACACAAAGCTTTACGCATGATAAGCATTTCATAGGTAAATGCTTATTCAATGGAATTGCAGAGGAGATGGGTTTTTTCTTCTAATTTCTGCTGAGTCACAAGATGCAGAATGAGCCACATATTTTCAGACACTGGCCAATGTGGGAATTTGTCTTGCCAGACTAAGCATATTGTTACAAGGGATTTTTTTTTAATTCCAGTGGCTGTATAGGGATGTAAGAGTGTAAGGAGGAGGAGGAGGAGAAGGAGGAGAAAGAGGAGAAGAAGAAGAAGAAGAAATGAGGGATGAGGATAAGAGCATTTTTGTTTTTAATAATGGAAGAAAAGAACATAAACCAAGCAAGAAGGACAAGGCTTAAAAGCTACAGGTTGATCTTATTATATACTTTTAAAGAAAAGTAAGCTGTATCTGATGAGTCCTGTAGTTTCAGGTACAATCTTCTTTTTCTATTCTATAACGTAAAAGGTGATTCAAAGTGCAATTTAAATGCCCATTCTATTTGATGTTTATCAAGATTGGAATAAAAATACGTAATTTTTTAACATCTGCTGACAATCTAGATGCCCAGTTCTCTACCCTTGATTTATATCATAACATTGGACTTTGCTAGTTCTAATGATTCCTAGCATACAGACTTGGCACCTTAATTAACTTCTGACCTATCCCCTACTCCAACCATCTTGTGCATAGCTACCACTCAAGCCCTGCAAGTCCCTTCAGGAATCAGGAACCAAAAACAAATTCATCTTAGACATCACAGTCAAGAGAAAACTTTGTCTCAATCAATACATTTAGTATGCCTTTGCAGAGACTACTAAAGGTTTTGTCCTGCCCTCATTAGATTGTAAGATCCTTAAGAAGAAGGAATGCCATTTTTTCTTATTTAAAATTCCCAACAACCTAGCACAGTGCCTTATGCATAGTAGGCATTTAATGAATATTTACTGGACTTAATTAAGCTATTTCCTGGTGACTTTGGATTAATTACTTTCTTTCTCTGGTCTTCCTTTCTCCAACTATAAAATGAACTATTTGCTCCAACCCCATATTACAAACTGCCTGTGGGACATTTCCAGTTGGGTATCCCATGGGCATCTCAAATTCAATATGTCCATAACACAACTCATTATCTTTCCTCCCAAATCTACCCCTTTTCCAAACTTTCTTTCTGTCTAGGCTACCACGATCCTTCCAGTCACCCAGAAGGAAATGGCAAAAACCACTCACTCTGGCATCTTTACCAAGAAAACCCCAAACAGGGTCATGAAGAGTCAGACACAGTCAAAACAGCTGACCAACAAAAATCCCGACTGACCATGTCACTCCCCTACTCAAGAAACTCCAATAGCTCCCTCTGGCCTTTAGGGACAAATCTAACCTCCTGGGGTGTGAAAGCTCCTTACCACTAGATCCTTACTTAACTCTCCAGCTCCACTTCATACACTCTCCAGTAAATTCCTTGAGGGCAGGGACTCTCTGCTACGCTTCTCTCCTAGTGTCCCCGGTGCCTAATAGTTCCTGGCACACAGTAGGTACTTAATAAAGGCTGTTGGTTGGTTGATTAGATTATTTCTAAGGTCCTGAATCCTATGATCCTGTAAAACCATCAAATACTACAGTTATATGCAATATCAATTCAGCTAAACTCTCTAAACTGTGAGATTTTTGCTTACTGAAGCTTAGCCAGTCAGCCTCTTGAGGGGTAATTGGGCACAAGGCTCTATCTGGTCTCCATGAAAAAATTTCAATTAATGGTAGCATTGATTAATAATAACTAAATGAATTAATTTTTTAAAACTATGTGCTATGTGCTAAGTACTGTGGTAAGGGCTGAGGACACAAATATAGAAGCTTATATAGAAGCAGAGTGGTGACTAGGGAATAGCACATTGGTGTTACTGGGTTGGTGAATGGGACCAAAGGCGAGAGGATTGACTCACACCATCCAGGAACAAGGCAGTGAGGGGACAACTAGGGGGAAGGAAAGTACGTCTAGGTAGTAAGCAAAGGAGAGTGTGGATAAGGTATTTAGAGAGAAAGGAATGAAGTGAAGACTGGCTGGGACTTTCCTGATGTTGTAATCCCAGAAAGACAGTCACCAAGCAGGCTAGCAGGAACCCAGGCTGAAAATCCTTTGGGACACAGTCTCACTCCAAGACTACCATATAGTGTAGGGCAGTGATGTCAAACTCAATTAGAAATGGATCCCTATGGGTACCATAATGACTTAGAAAAACACAAATTAACATTGTTTATGTTTTATTGTATTTTTATTAATCTTGTTAAACAGATCCCAATTACATTTTAATCTAATCGGGCCCCATCTGGGAGTTTTGCAAACTGCAGCTGGCCAAGTTCGGATACCTCCAGTAGAGGGAATATGTGCGAGGTATTAAAATTCAAAAACTATAGTGCCTCTTGCACTTACTATCTGTGTGATCTTACTACCTTACTATCTTATTACTTACTGTGTGACCTTAATCGAGTCTCTTAACTTATCTGGATCTCAGCACCCTCATCTGTAAAATACAGGGAGTTGGATTATTAATCATCCTTCCTTAGTGAAGAGGACCGATGACGTCAGGAGGGTGATGTCTAGACTCACAAGTGAATTGGATTTAAGTGAGGCAAGCTGTGCGAAGAATTCAGCCTCACTTTCTCCTCCAGAGTTATCAGAATCCAGTAACAAGACACAGGTCAGGACTATTAGACATGGCTCTGGATGCAGTGGGAGACTTTGGCCTTTTTTAAGCTAAGGTTTTTCCCAGGTGTCAGTTTGTCTGAGGCAACACCCACTCAGTGATTTAAGGCTAGGTAAAAATGAAGGCAAAAGACGGCCTAGTTTGCCCTTACGAAATAATCAGTCTGGGAGGGAAAGAGCCTCAGAATTTCTCAGGGAGTTGGATTAGATGGACTCTGAGGTCTCTTCCATCCCTAGACCGATAGGTCTTCAAAATGAAACACTTGTTATGTGAATATTCCCTCCGCTAAAGCTAGCTCTCCCGTAATGGCTCAACACTTGTTAAGTCACTACCAGGTGACTTAACCAGGAAAAGCAAAACAAAACAAAACAGTCCCTGCCTTTAAAGACTTTACATCTTACTGGGGGAAACACAAAAAAAAGTCAAATTAAACACAAAATATATCTGAGCCAGTAATGGGGTATACAGGTAGTGGGAGCAGCCCCAGCCAGTGGAAGGATTAGGAAAGGAGATCTATAGTAGGTGGCCTCTGACATGAGCTTTGAAGGAAGCTGAGGTTCTCTAAGGTAAGAAGAAGCTCATTTCAGGCATGGGGAACACCGACTCCATGCAGAAGCAGAAAGTGTTGTAAATGAAATTCAGCACCCAAGAATGAAATGTCGTTGCAGTGTTGAATTGAATTGAATTGAGTTGCCACAATCCGGCTCTGCTACTTTCCCCCATCATTCCTAGAGGCCCTCTGTCCTATGCAGATCCTTAGCTAGGGTACAGCAACAAAGGCTTTCTGGGGCAACCAAAATTTAGAAGGCACGCAAATTTAACCCAAGCTTCCCTTCACCAGCTTAGAAGACAGCAAATGTAAATAATTCCCTCCCCACTTCAACTAAATTTGTCCCAATTACTTCTCCTATTATTTTCACATCATAAATTACAAAACTGATCTAAGGATGCAAGGACTGCTACAGTTCACATCAGTGGACAGAAGACAGTGCTGCTCAGTAATGCTCAGGAGGTCATTAGCCAATCAGG